CTAAAATGACCTTCCGAGCTTTTCGTTATTGAGGGGGGGGGCTAATTACCCTCCTTTCCGGGGAGGAAAATCCGGCCCCCCTTCCCCCCCCCCCCCGCCCCACACACACACACATGGATTTTCTGGTAGAAGGAGTGATCTGGTCATGAGACAGTGTGCTGCCCCCAACTAGTTCCAAAAAAACCTTTACAAATTCCTTGCATGTCTCTCCCTTGTTCCACACTCTGGGTATCTCCTCTTCCTTTTCCCTGCTTTTCTTGGTCTCTCCCTCCCAGTTCCCTTCTATGTTAGGTTGTTTCTCTTCCCCTTTTTGTGCTGTCTCTCACTCCACCATTGTTCTATTTTCTGTCAAATGATTAAAGTATATAATACCCATACAAAAAATATACCTACATTAGCTGCACATTCCAGCTCACCAAAGAAAGGTATGCAAATCAAATAACATATTTTACAAGCAAGCATCTCAAATAGCCACCATGACACAAGGAATAGAATAATACAGAAAACTTTGCTTTTAAAATTATAAGATCTATCAGGGGAATAATTGTAAAATGTTCATAAAACACCATAAGTACACACACACTTCCCATCATACATGAACACACTCAATAATTTATATTAGGTACTTACATAGCCTCCATTACCTCATCATATTTAATGTATTTTTCCTCCCAATGCCCTGTGAGGTACAGAAGTATTTTTATCACCATTCTACAGATGGGGAACTGAGTCAGAGGGTATGTCTACACTGTAGTGTATGCCCAGGCTCAGACTCAAGCCCAAGTCCCCCTTCTGTCTACACACACACACACACACACACACACACACCCCTATCGGACTCAGGCCAGCAAGCCCTCTGGACCTGAGCCCTTGGACCCAACAAGAGGGGTTTAAGCCATAGTCCCAGTGGAATTTGGCTCCATAGTGCATCATTTTACAGCATAGACAGAGCTTGGTCCCAGGTCCCTCAGATTCATGTCCAGAGAGTATCTCACAATCACATGGGCCACTGTTCATATGCTTCCTATCCCAAGACTAGCCAATCAACTTGCAGAAAACTGAAGAAAGTGTCTGGTTCAAATACAGCTGCTCAGCTTTTAATTCTTCCATTTAATTATGGATTGCTGAGCTCCAGAGTGAACCTGCATTAGCTTCGGCCACCTACAGGAAGAAGTCCTTTGCCAAGCACACGGCTATGTGGTCACAGGACCACAATCAGATTCTGGTAAATCTGTGGTGCAAGGTGAGCAACATGTTCAACTTCAGTAAGAGTATCAGAAATGACCACATGTACCAAGAAATAGCGGATAAGTTGACAGTCTGGGGGATTCAATGGACTGGTGCCAGTGAAGAGAGCAGATCAAGTGGCTCAAGAGTAACTAACAGAAAGCCAGGGATGAAAACTGTACCTCTGGGAACTTTCTGTCATCCTGCCTCTTTTATGAGGACTTTGACCAGGTGCTGTGTACTACACCAAGCCCTGAGCCCGCAGCAGTTCACAATAGCCTGGTCAGCAGGATGGTGACCTTCTGATCCCTGAATCTAATATAGCATAAACGGGGAGCTAACAGGTGCTGGATCAGGCTAGCAAAGTGACTATGGTGCTCACACCAGTCCCAAAGGAGGCTTTGCACCAGAGCAGCTGCAGCACATCCTGGGTCCATAGTTGTAGGAGTTGTGTAGTGACCTTCCAGAGAAGCAGCTTCATGGAAGTTGAAACCAACAGCAGAAACAGAAGACACAGAAGTAGGTAAGTGTTTGG